TGAATGAATCAACCGTTTAAATGATTCGGTTCAATCGCAATTACTCACTTATTAACAATGATTTGCTGCCACCTGCTGGCGGTTTTAATTTCAAATTTCAGCTTTTTCTTTCTTTTCTTTATTTATTTATTTATTTTTTTTTCATGTTTTAAATCATTTCAAATATCAGTATTCGACGTTTTATGTTTAATATATCAAAACATTATTTATGCATTTGTAATTGCAGGTTAAATGCATTCATGTCTTGCATTAAACAAAATACATGTGTGTAAATACATCTAAATGCCACTTCAGATGCAGCTTCTGTGTTGATTTAATTTGCTTGGTAACAGCCCAAATGTCTTATTATTCTAATTCCCTGATTAAATGTAAGAATCTGACATTTTATAAAGGTAAAAATGCCCATAAAATGCAAAAATCAGTTTAAACTTATTGGAAAAGATTAATTTCTATCAGTATGAACTGACCACCACACAGAATATGAAGAATATTAAAAACATTAGGAGTCAGCTGTCTTCGGCAGTCCTTAAGGTACCAGCACAATAACACACTCGGCAAAATATCGTCTAATTATCGTTATCGATAAAATCCCAGAAAATATCGAGATATAATTTTTTGTCAATATCGCACACCCCTAGAGAAAAGTGTTTATTACGTGTGAAATATGGATATTTTTCTTACAAAAACTCATGGATTCGCTACAAGGGGCCTTTATTCATCCCCCGGAGCCATCTGCGGCACGTTTTATGAATGCGCGAGCTTTATTTGACAACTTGTGGACTGTTCAACTGCAACACCCACTGAGTGCCATTAAACAGCTTGAAAGATCAAAGACAATTTTTAATATAACTCTGACTGGATTTGTCTGAAAGAAGAAAGTCATATACACCTAGGATGCTTCGAGGGTAAGTAAAACACGAGCTAATTTTCATTTTTGGGTGAACTAATAATGTCCTTTCTTTGATGAAACCCTCTTTGCAACACAAAGAGTGACAAAGAGTCATAAAAAGATTAATGTGCCGCATCAGTGGTAATAAAGAATATGGTCGTAATGCAGATATAAATGAAACGGATTGAAAACCTCTATTTTTTTCCTTCTCATAAGGTTTGTTGCTTCCTGTGGTTTTACCCCTGATGTGAAGGTGTGGGAGGTTTGCTTTGCTAAATCAGGGGAGTTCAAAGAGGTCGCCCGTGCATTTGACCTTAAGGGACACTCGGCTGGGGTTTACTCCTTTGATTTCTCCAATGACTCTCGGAGGCAAGATCATCTCATCTTTTACCATTAAGCAAAATATATAATAATATAAATATATTTATATAAATAAAATCATAAATACATAACTAAGTCATATAAATTAATATATAATATAGTAATACTATTATAGCATGTATTAATATTTTGAATGATCTTAAATATTTTGAATTAGATTTTATTTTAATTTTAGTCTTTTTTTTTTTTGTCAGTTTTTTCTGTAATTTAAGTACTTCAAATTAAAATAAAAACTTGTTTCAGTCAGACTTTTAAGATTTTCGTCTTATATTTATATTTTATTTCATCTTTCAATTAACAAAACAATTTTATTTGTTTTAGTTAACAAAAGCAACAGTTATTAATTAGTGAACAGAGATTTAATGACGTGATTAAGATGTGTTAATATTTACTTGAGTCTGAACAGTGCAGAAACCTTATTTGTAGTTTCCATTAAATTTAGATGTAGCTATATTTAATAAAATTTCAATCACTTCCATTTACAGAATGGTGACTGTTTCCAAAGACGGCACGTGGAAGCTGTGGGACACTGATGTGGAGTATAAGAAAAAGCAGGACCCATATTTGCTCCGGACCATGCCATGTCAGGTGTCAGAGGGGAGCCGCATTGCCCTGTCTCCCGACGGTCGTGTAGTAGCCATATCAAACGGTTGTGATCTAGCCGTGTACAGTGCCAGCACTGGTGAACTAGAGGAGGAGTTTCACGGTGTTCACAGCAAAGAGATAACCAACCTTAAGTTTGACATCAACAATCGTTTCCTAGTGAGTAGTGGGGACCGTGCCATTCGCGTCTTTCACAATGTAACCGGTTACCGTGCTGCCATCCAGGACATGCAGACCATGCTGAAGAAAGCCTCAAATGATGGAGTGAGACAGAGACTCCAGCAGCAGATAACAGATGCCCAGAATGCTCTGGACACAGTGCTGAATGCAACAAAGAACTAAAAGCTGATTTGTTTTCACTGGAAATTTAGTCTGTTTTTGGTTTCAGTATTAAGTTTTAAAGTATTAAGTTGCTTTAGCATGCTGATTTTATTGAATAAATTGGGTGTTTTTAAGTGTTTGTCAACTACTTTTGTTCCTCTTTCACTGATTTTTCTACTGCCATCTCTTTGTGGCTTTTAAGGTGACATTTACACTTTTAAGGGGAAATATGTCCTACAAAGGCAAAATACAGTCATACTGAAATGGAAACACCCTTTTATTTACACACACACATATATATATATATAATTCATTATTTCTCTAAATGAGCATAACTGAGCCAAACCTGCCTGACAAAAGACAGATCATAATCTGATAACTACATTTTACAAATGTTTAGTCACTGTTTTGCCTTTGCACTTCATTATATTTGACTTTTTATAATTATGTCTACTTATAGTTGTCTGCATATTGAACTGGGAATATGTTATCATCAAAGAACCTTTAAGGAAGTGCCATCAGCTATTTTGAAATAATTAAAAGTATATAAACAATTAAAAAATATATGTATATTAACTTTTTTTTTATCTAAATGTCAAAAACGCTCATATTTGCTTTTTAATTTTATTACATTTGATCTTACATTTACATTCAGTAATTTTGCAGACGGTTTTATCCAAAGCGACTTACAATTTGGGGATACATAAAGCGATTCTTCTTAAAGAGTCAAACAGATACAGGAAGTGCTTGTAATACCAAGTTTCTAGACATTGTTCAAATAAGTACAAGCTAGAAAGAGAAGGAATAAATAAAGAGAATTACATTTTTTTTTTTTTTTTTATAATTATGATGATGAAGTCAAGTAGCTTCGAAAGAGATTAGTTTTCAGCTGTCGCTTGAAAATTGTCAGGGATTCAGCATTCCGGATAGGGGTGGGAAGATCGTTCCACCAGCCAGGAATGCTGAACGAGAATGTTCTGGAAAGTGATTTTGAGCCTCTCTGTGATGGTACCACGAGGCGTCGCTCACTAGCAATCTTATACATTGCTGGCCTTAAGCTTGATTAACGTAAATAATATTTAACATTAACTTTAATAATCACACAACACATATTTTAATATCTTAATTCATCTAAAAATAAATAAGAACAGACCCAGACCTTTATTTTGAAATGAGCTATGACCTTTTTGAGTTATATTAAAGCGTTTTGATTATAAATAAGTACAATTTTTACAAGATGGGTTTGGGCCATCGGTCGTTGAGTGACATATGACTAGCGGCTTTTTCATCTTATAATAAAGTTACTATAAATTTAACAAGTAAAACCACAGCAGCCACCTGTGCCCTCGATAAGTAGGTGGGACCCGTCAAGAAGCTCTGGAAAGTGGAGTCGTGAGTTCTCGCGATGCGAGATTAGCGAAGCCAGACTGCGAGACCGACACGATTCCAGTAAGAGTACTGATAAAATTCAGAAATGTCGGGTCGCTCGGTCCGCGCGGAGACCCGAAGCCGCGCTAAAGATGACATTAAGAAAGTGATGGCGGCTATCGAGAGAGTACGGAGATGGTGAGTATGACGGGCGGCGTCACAATACTTAAAAAGAGAGAAATGTTTTTCGAAAGAGAAACTTCACTCGGAAAGGAGGAGGCGTTTTATAAGAGGATGCCGTTTGATTGACACAAGAGACAGCCAATGGCAGCGCGCTTGTCTTTGTTTTCTCGTGGGACAAGTGGCAAAAAGAGGCGGATCTAGAGATGACTTTTAAAAGGTTTCTTCATGTTCTGAAGAAGCGTATTTAGGACTGTCCGTAACCTTAAAAAATTATATGATTGTTCTTTTCTTCTTTTTTTTTTACTAGTTTAGTAAGTATATTATTCAATTACTGTGCAAGAGTAATCAAAGCACATTCACTCAGGGTTTAGACCAGCAAAAACCAAGCACTTTTGTGATTGAAATAAATGGGGATATTGGATAGGGTTCAACACATCAACAAATGGACTTTGTAATCCCACATGTCCCGAAAAAGCAGCTCTTAGAGGAGCCTTTAAACTTTCTCCAAATGGAAACTTTATAAGTGCTTTTTTCTGCATGGTTGCATTTTTAACATGGAAACTTGATAGAGCTTTCAAGTCATGTATATGGGAAGCCTGTTACACAATTCCTCTATTTCAGGGAGAAGAAATGGGTCACAGTTGGAGATACATCATTAAGAATATTTAAATGGGTTCCTGTAGTGGACACAAAGGAGGTATGACAAATCTGAGATGATGATTTCTCTTGGTTTTAATTGTTTGAGAGTTCATTTTATACATTAGATCAACTTCTGTAAAGTAAAGGATTTTCCAAACTCCTGCACTATATTTACTGTATCTGTAACCTGATGTCTTTTAGAAGGACAAGAGCAAAGTGTCTGTGGGTGGAGAGATACAACGGAAACATTTTCCCACAGAGGAGTCATCTGATAACTCCTGTTCTGTACTGTTAGATTTTCAAGGTAAACATTTGCATTTCAAAGGCATAGTTCACCCAGAAATAAAAATTCTGCCAAAATTGTATTGTTTTCCTTCTTTCATGTCAAATTCTAATCTTCTCTTGGTTGCCTCCTGCCTTCTCAGATGAGAACAGCAACCTAAGTTCTCTGTCAGACTCCTACCTGCATAAAGCAGCTGCAGACAGCAGCAATAACTCCAGTCCACAGCTCAGTGAGCCGGTCAGCCCTGCACCTCAGAGTCTAGACTACCGTACAGATGACCCACAGCCGCCCACCCTCGGCCAAGAAATCATGGAAGGTGAGACTTATTTTTTAAGAGTTTATGAGAGTTTAATGTTAATCTCAGAGCTGAAAGATTCATTAATGTAATTTTTTATGTAATATTATATATATATTTAATATTTTGCATTTTTATGATATTTTATTGTTAACCTCTGAGTTGAGGGATTCATTATATTTTATTATATAAATATATTAACTAATTATTTTTATTTATCATTTATATTATATTATATTATATTACTAATGATTTGTATTATTTATTAATTATGTATTATATTATTATTTATAATTAAATTACACATTTCCAAAGATATATCCAGTGTTTTATAAAGCTTGTAATTTTATGAATTTTGCTTAAATATTTAGTCATATTAACCTGAGATTGTTTGCCCTCTTTGTGTCATTGTGATTGTGATCTGAAAAAATACATTATGCTCTTATCTCCAAAACTACACATTTCACAGAAGTTCACTGAAATCGTTCAGTCAGTTGACCCACTTTTAAAAAATTATAACTTTTTTTTTTCTAGAGCCACTGCTGCAGTCAAGTGAGATTGCAGATGAGCCGCCAACACTGATCAAAGAAGATCTTTTACCCCTCACTGCTCCGGTACAAAACTGTCCAAAACTAGTCAGAGGTTCTACATAATAAAGCATGAATGCTGGGACAGTCCCTCTGCCTTGGGCTGTGAACCTTGCTTTCTTTTAAATTCATGTTATTTTAAATTTTTACATTTTTTATAGTGCTGTATATCAGAAACATAAAAAATACATAAATACCTATATATAATATTTAAAATATATAATTAATGTTTTTTGAACAATTGTTGCTATTTATTTTACTGTATTTATTGTGTTTATAAAATATTTTGTAGTATTTATTTGTTACATTATATTAAACCTTTTGTACTAATGAAATTAATAACTAATTAATAATTAATTGTTCCTTTTTCTCTGAGTACAGGAGGATGAGGACAGTTGTGGAGCCCCACCACTGAAAAGAATCTGTACCGAGCAGGTCTCGGTCATCCAGGCAGCCCCTCTTAGCTAACACACACACACACACACACACACTGTACACTGGGCATTGATAATCAGTCAGACTGATCACTGACCTTCCTAGAACTGCTGCAAAAGACACAATTATGGACCAGACATCAAAAAAGCACTATATTTATTATCGCATGGGATCGCTTTGCAACATTTTAGATTTACAAACCTTTGCTTTCCCTTCATATCTCCCACAACATGCTTCCATTCAGGTCATGTCAGGATTTTTGAAGATCTCATAGTAGAATCTCTGAATTGTTATCTCCTACACCAATTCTGACATAACATGAATGATGCATTAATTCAACGTTAATAGGCCAAAACCAAAAAAAGTCAGACTATTGACTAGACATTCCTGTTTACAGGGAAAATGAATGAATGTACTATCACTATAAAGCCCTTCTTGTTGAAATTGCTGTTACAGTTATTATAATGATACTAGTTTAATTTTATTGTCATTAGAATGTGATGCTTGTTAAAAAAAGAAAGCCATAAACTAATTTCATGTTGACTGAAGGGTTAGCTATTATTGAAGAAAATGTCCTTCAAAACAAAGACAAATAACGAGTTAAATGATAAGGGTACTTGAAATATAATTGAACACATCACGCTTTACGCACAAATAAGCTCATTAGACCACACCATTCCCTTTTAATAAAAACAATGACTCAACATGAAGAGTGTCTTCAATCAAATTCAGTAAGTTTACACTTTTATATATGATATCTATATTTTCTGCTTGTAGATTCTGGTCTCAGGGTCTGTAAGTGCCTCCTCTCATTTGTTGCAGTAATTGAACATTTACTCTTTTGTCTCTGTAGCACACCCCTAAAAATGCCTGTCTCTTATGCCACCTTTTATTTTTTGCACACTGGTCTATTGGGCACACTGAAGTTGATGAAGCAGTCATATTGTTATTTGATGCAAATATCATTAAAATTTTAGACATTTCAAGATCATTTTCAAGATTTATTTCCGTCATTATTCTTTAAAAATAATAATGTATGCTACTGTTAAAAAATGTGGGGTTTCAATAAGTTTTCTTGATGAAGAATTTAATACCTTTATTCAGCAAGGGTGCATTAATATGATGAAAAGAAAAAAATTCTATTTGAAATGAATGCTGTACCCCCCCCCCCCCCTTTT